ATCGCTTCACCCCAACAACATTAACAATTGCAAGTGGGCATTTTGCATTTTTTTAATCTATATATTCTGAATCTGGTAAACGGCACTTCCTATTTTAAGGTAGCATTTGGCATGGCCATCATATTGCATCCACTGTGGAACTATGTGTCTTTTAAAGAGATAATTTTGTTTAGTTGACTTCTATACTAATGTGTAATCTAGTTAAAATATAAAATGTTTTAAAAGCCCTCACAAAAAAATTATGTATGCCCATTCAAAGTACTTATAAACTGCATTCATTTTCTTGGCTTGTCATAATGAAGTGCCCTGAGCTCAGTGTCTCGACAGTTATTCTCTCACACTTCTGGAGGTGGGTCTGCAGGTCTCTCTCTCTGAGTTATACAGGAAGCTATTTATTTGTCTTTTCCTAGTTCTTCCTGGTTGCCAGAACTCCCTTATGTTCCCTGGCTTGTTTTTACATCATTCCAGTCTTTGCTTCTGTCTTTATGTGGCCTTCTTATGTCTCTATCCTCCTGTCCTTTTTCACATAAGGACACCATTTTACTAGGGTCCATGCTAACTACTATGACCTCATTTTACAAGTTGATTACATATGCAAGAGCTTATTTCCAAATAAAGTAACATTCATAGGGTCAAGATGGACATGGATTTCGAGAAGGTAAAATCCATCCCAGTACAGTAACGAAGCACAAACTACAATATGTAACTATAATGTTAGATTCTTCTCATAAAAATGAACCTACAAAAACGAACACACTACAAAACAAGAAATTAACAAACAAGATAGGCAAGTGCTTACCCTAATTCAGATTTCACCTCTGTATTTCCAAAACCCTCAGCACTCCAGTAATGTGTTCCATTGTGTCCCATCAGATTCCTAAATTGATCACATCCTGTGCTTCTGAGAAGCGTTCTGGTTCACAAGTTGTCTGGCTCTTCCCTTCCTTTATCTCTGCTTCCTAGAAAATCCTAGCTTGGGTGCTTCAAGGACTTCCAAATGATCTCAGATTTTTTGCATCTACTAAGATTGGATGACAATTACTGTATCAGCAATGAACCTGACTTTTCTAGAGCTGAGCCTGACCTCCTGAAGGTGCCACCTCCTACGGAATGCAGATGGCTCCCCCCAGTAGATGTGGACCTATGCTAGCATGGCAGAGAATACACTTCTTCCTAACTCTGAGTTCTCTTCCTTGCTTTATGCAGCAGTAGTGATGGTGACCCCAACAAGGATCAAAGAGGTCATTTCTAAGTGCAGAGGGCATGCACCTTCCTGGTTTCTTCCTACATCACAGCTTTCCAATTTACCATTTACCTAGTAGCTGATGGGCTTTATCTTCTGTACCTGTCAACACTTAGAGGTGGTTATGTTAAAACATGCACTCTAAACAAGGCATCTCAGATAATTACCTCAGTACATAGTATTGATGTACTTCAGGAGTTATGTACTCTAATGTAAAAAACAGCTTATTTTTCTATTCAGTTTTCAACATTCCCTCTAATGGCAGAGTATACCTTCTGTATCAGTGACCCCTTAAGCTAGGTGCCAGGGTACTATATATGATAAGCCGTATTTTTTTTCTTACCATATTTGTCTTTTCTTCCTAGAAGAAAAACTAACAATTCCTTTCACCCCCAGTTCTCACACACTTTAAGAAGTTGAGACTCTCAATATAGAATCCCATGAGTTAGTTGTTACTTTAACACGGTTGGTCATAATAGCCACAAATTTCTGCTTTTTCCCAGTAACACCACTTCCTCCAGGGAAATACCTATCTGGCTATGCAGGGTAAAATTACCAATCAACTAATTTTACCTCTCCCCAGGAACTTCAACACTGGTGCAACTCTTCCACTACTGTGTAAGAAGTAAGCTACTAGCAATGGAGGGGAAGAAAATAAAAATTTAAAACTTTCAAGTTCTTTTACACAACCTGCGTCACATTCTCATTAACATTTTGACACCTCCCTATAAGTGTGATCATCACAGCTCTCCCACCACCCAAGTATTTCATGACAGTTGTGTGTTTTCCTTGGGTGCCTCAGATATCTAGTCAGCTTTTAAGGGCTGGTTTTGAAGTTTGTCTCTGTCTGTATCTATTTGTTTTTTCTGTATTCCACAGATAAATGACATCTTCTGGCATTTATCTTTCTCTTTCTGGCTTATTTCACTTAGCATAACCTCTTCCAGCTCCATCCATTTTGTTGCAAATGACGAGTTTATCTTTTTTGATTGCTGAGTGGTATTCCACTGTGTATATATACCACATCTTCTTGATCAACTCATTTGTTTTGGGACATTTAGGTTTCTAACCTGTTTAAACAACTGCCTACTCCACTGAGTTATCTCAAAGTATTTTAAATGCAAAGGACCTAAGACCAAGGTTATTATCTGTCTTCATCTTTTATAGTTCTTCTAATCCGGGTTCCCCCTAATTCACTGGCATTAATTGTAAAAGACAAAAATATAAATGTCATCTTTGAATCAACCCTTTCCTTGTGCACACAATCCCAACTCATTATTATGCCAATTTTATAAACTTTACCCCATACTAGGCTGCAGCAGCTACTACCTTACCTGTTTACCTCCTGTGGGGTCTCCCAACTAATCCAATATTAGCTATCTTAGCCCTTTACAGTCCATTCTCCACAGAAACACAGGTTACTAATTTTCCACTAAAACTTTTATGCTACAAAAAGTTGAAAACACCAGATAATATAAATATGTATACAATGTAACAGAATGTATATTCATGCAACCACCATCCAAGTTAGTATTACCATCATTTTCTCCCCATGCAATTCTAACTCACTTAAAATCCTCATAACTTAGCCACACAGATCTCCCAATTCTTAGATTCTGGCTGCTCTGACTTCTGAATCTGTAATTCCTGTTTAGAATATACTCAGGCCCTCCCTGGTGGCACAACGGGTTATGGCGCAGCTCCACAAGCTAGCCACAGCCACTTCAGTGTGAGTTTGATCCCCGACCCCAGAGGTGACCCACATGGAGTGGCAGACCTCTCCTGACCCGTCTGCCACTTCCCTCAGCAGTGTACTTCATCCATCTGCCTGTTCTGCTTCCCTCTGTCTCTGGTGAAGATTCTCACCACCCCTTCACCCTGTTCTGTATGAATAAGTAAGTCTTTTTAAAAAACAGAGTATGTTCTTACCTTCATTTTTTACCCTTTTAACTTCGTATGCAACTCCTCTTCCCCTCACCTCTATCAGTGACTCTTACCTCTAATGAATTCTATAATTCATTTTGCAGTACTATGTCTCATACAAGGATTGCCTAAGATAATTAATTGCTTCATCCTTAGATATGCATTATGAACACACCAATTTTCAACCATAGGGCCTCTCCATATTAACTTCCACTCAGCTCAAAGGACTAATATTTTAAAGATCACATGCATACTTTGATTTGGCTCAGTCAAGAACATGTCCTAGGAACAAAGCTAAGCATTAAAATGGAGAAAGGAAAATCTCAACAAATGCTAGTGGGGAAACTTGAAAGTCCTCTGCAAAAGAATGAAACTAGGCCACTACTTCACACCACACAGAAAAATTCATTCAAAATGGAATAAAGACTTCAATGTATGAACTGAAACCACAAAATATAGAGACAAAAACAGGCAAAACATTCCAAGACATTGGTTTCAGAGATGTCTTTGGGGACTTGATTCTAACAGCAATGGAAACAAAAGCAGAAATAAACAAAAGGAACTATTTATGTTAAAGTAAGCTTCTGCATACCAGAGAAACTATCATTAAGATGAATGGGCTCCCTACTGATAGGGAATATATTTCTACATAACATTTGACAAGATGTTCAGTACCCAACATATACAAAGAACTCATACAACAACAGAAAATAACCCACTCACAAAATGGGTAGAAGAGTTAAATAGACACTTCTGCAAAGATATACAGATGGCTATGGGCCTTTAAAAAAGACATCACCAGTGTCTTTGGTTAAAAGCAAATCAAAACTACCAGAAGCCACCTCATACTGTAAGAAGAATCCATTATCAAAAGACCAGAATACAAATGTGGGCTAGAGTGTTTGTATAACAAGGAACCTCAGCACAATGTTGGTGATGATGTAGATGCCCCCCCCCCCCCCCCAAGGAAAACAATACGGGGATTTCTCAGAATATTAAAATATTAAACACATTTTATCATGATGTAGCAATTCCACTTGTAGGCATATACAAAGAAAAAGAACACTAATTTGAAGCGATATATGTATTCTTAGGTTCACTGCAGCCCTATTTATAAGAACCTAGCATGGAAACAACCAGAGTGCCAAAGATAGGTGAGTGTGTAAGATAATACACATGCAGAAGGCTAAAGCTAAATACAGGATGATTTCATTCATATGTGAAATATAAAAAGTAAAAATAAAAAGGAGACCAAACTAAACCAAAACAAACCCTAGAAATCTGACTATAGAAGTGAAGCTACCAGAGGGTTGGGACAGGAGGGCAAGGGAGGGGGCGGGGGCCCCATGGACTACAATGGAGGTTTACTGTTTCTTCTCCTTGCTTTACTTTCCTCATAAATACTAGGTATAGAACAACAGGGCCTGCCAGGTGGTACTGGGCTATCTGCTAAGGTTTTCCAGAGTAATAACTTCACTTGTCTGATCTAACTTGAGACTACACTTCCTCTTCATTCTCTTCAAAGTGTGTGCTAAAATTGACTATTCTGCTCTCTGACAGAAGCATATGCCTAACCTCTTTTCTTTCTCATGTACAAGCAAAGCACAGCTTTGTTTCCTTAGGTAAAAAGATGTTTATAAAGAAAACTCTAGTCTTTTCTATAGACCTCAGCACAAATTTTGTCCATCTCTTAATATATTTTCTTGACAATCAGATACCAGGATAAGATTTAATTTAACATTTATAAATATTTAAGGAAAAAGAAATCAATTTGGAAAACTTTATCAACATATTACCAAAACAAAGATTTTTTTGACAGTAAATGTACAATTATTGTATGGTTTGCCATTATTTCCTCTCTAGGAAGAAAAATGAGAAATACATTATATAAGTCATTATAAGCTCAGTAAATTTTTTAAACACTTAAAGAGACATGAGTTAGAAAAAGTGCAATCAAACAAGCCAACTGTAAAAGTCATTTTTGTCACAATAAATTTGAATATGGACCACATATTAGATGTTACTATAAATAATTACTGTTTATTTTTGGGTGTAATAATGTCACTGTGGTTGTGTGGTTTTTTGTTTTTTTTTTAAAAAAGGACCTTATTGGTTAGAGATACAAACTGAAATACTGTAAGTAGAATGATTTCTGTGGGATAGGCTTTAAAATATTCCAGTTTAAAAAGTTGCGTGATTATATTCGGTGGTGGTGGTAAGACTGATAATATTAACATGATAACAGGCCAGACTTGATATATAGCGAACAAAATAATGGAATTATGCCTGGTATAATAAACTATACAGATTTTTTAAGATAGTTAAATTTAAGGTTATGCATGGTTGTGAACATCTGTGATTTATGTGTGATTCTCATGTTGAAACGTTAGTAGTGTGTAAGCATGATAAGTCAGATAGGAATTTGGCAACAATGCATTGGTATCGCAGGATCTCCTAAACTCAGAAAGCAAAAGAGAAGACAATAGAACTGGGTTATTATTACTCTGTATAACAAGTAATGCATTATGAAAACAGAAGACGGACAACTTTTGAATGAAAAGATCTTTCTATTTCAGATTTGAGAACACCACAGTCTCCTCAAACTTACTTTCTGTAGTGTTAGCACATCATCAGAAACTTTTGATGGTATTAAATCCTCAGTATTCAAAATATTCATATCCAATGTAGTTCTGATTCATAAGAACATTCTCTATAATGAATGCATTTTTATGCATTCAAGAACAATAATTAAGACATTTTTCATGTCGGATTTAAGTACGAGTACAAGTGAATTAAAACCATTCAGATAAAAATGCAACTAGATCTGCATTCGCTGCTTTGCTGACTCATGAACATTTATATATATTATTTTGTGTGATCATCCACATAAAAAAAGGCATTCTAATTCTTTATTTTTTTTATTTGACAAGCAGCAATATCATGTCTGTCATTTTAATGTAGATACAATTATTAGGTTATCTGTCATATTACAATATTTAAGTTTTTTTTTATGTCCTTTAAGATACATTTAAAAAAAAAAACACATCAACTGCAAACGTGAGGGGAGAAAAAGCATGGTACCCAACCAAATTTCCACATTTCAGCAATACTTCACTCATTCTCTTAATAAAGTTTTAAGAAATGTCATAATGACATGAGCTTGAAATATCTCTAGGCATTTTCTCTGACGCTCATGACGTGGCACTGGTGATGTTGTAAACAGCAGAAAAACAGGGGCTGCCAAATGACCAAATTATGGAGGCACAGGCCTGCTTTTTCCCACAGAAACACACCGAAAGGTGATGGCAATGATCTTCTCACACCCACACTGGAGGAGAACAACATCACGCTACATAACTGTATTCATCTGCTGATGCTTGGCTGCGTTCGATGTATTGTTTGTCTATCAGAACTTCAATACACTTCTTAATCATGCTGATACTAGGATTAAACCGAGCTCTGGACTGGCTAATCACCTGTGGAAGAGACATGAATGTCAAATTATTGCTAACTAATCAGTTACAGGAAATTATTTCTAAACTACCTCAAATTTACTGAGGCTTTATCAAATATACCTAAGTTCATATAGGAAAAATATACTTAAAATATTGTGAAATTAATTAAATTGAATAAAATCACAAATGGTTGAACATGATATATCAAATGAATAACATGTACAGTATGAATTATTTTTTAAAACAGAGGGCAGTGCATAAGGATGTCAATTTTGATATTATGATCAAAAATAACTTTTTATGGAAACATCTAATATTTATGCTATAGAGGAATTAAAATGCAGAATAAAGATATAACAAAACCTGATATTCACATGCAACTAAAAACTATAACCTAATCTAATTATCACACACCCTCTCTCTTCCATTTAACCCCTTGTCAATTTTCATCTCTCAGTTGAACCTTCTCCCAAAAGCTTTCCACAACAAAGAATTTTATATCCATTCTAATTGGACTTGTACATCTGTTTTAAGTGAAAGCTAATGCAATTTTATATTTACTTGCACATCAATGCACTAACATATTTCCTCTCTAGTAGAGTGTGAATTCTACAAGTGTAGGAAGCAGCTTGTGTTGCTCAGTATTACATTCCCAGGGAGCAGCACAGTGCCCTACCTTACAGTGGACACTCATGCATGCACAGAATTAACATTTGATGTGGTCAGATTTCGTCAATAAATGGTCAACAAACTCAATAAACTAGTGGGACTCAATTCAATGCAAATCTGAATTTAAAATTGAAAGTACAAAATGTACTGCTGTCATGAATGAAGTTCTTATGGTATTTCAAAATTATTTGACTTCTGTACTGTCTTTATGGTAGAAAAATTCCTAATCTGTACACTGATAAAATCCTTTGGCCCACCAAGTCCAGAGACTCCTCCCCTTTTACCTCTTGAATAAGGGCATTATGCCGAAGCACTTTTCGTGCTTTCATGATACGAACTATAGCAGCTTGGAGATACATTTTCCGGTCCTCATCTACGGCACTTCTAGTCTGCTCCATTTCCTGTTTTATGGGGGAAAGGATTCGGAGAAGCAAAAGCCAAAGAGACATTAAGTCACTAAGTGTGTTTTAAATTCATTTTAATCTGTTAAATAAATTTCCAATCAATACTGAACACCAAGTTACGATTATGTGCCAACTGTCATATAACCATTACCAAAAGGATATCTACAGTGAGTTATATATAATTTCTTGGGTTAAAGTTGGAAGGTTATTTAAAAAAAAAAATAATAATAATACACTGTACTCAATGCAAATAAACAATAGAGTAGCACTTAAATGACATGGCTCTATAATTTTAAATATCACTGTTCAATCACTGAGTACAGGCTGTATACCACATGCTTTATCATTGGTTTGAAGGGAAAGAGTTGTGAAGAGAATCCAGGAAGACCCAGAAAAGGCCAATTTTCTATGGCCCTCAAGGTACACTGTGGAAGAAAGGCACAGAAACAAATAACATCACACTAATAGAGAGCTCATCGTGTTTTAGAAGATAAAAAGCAATCCACATATTACAACTATTGCTTATTAACCCAAGGTAAAAAAGGAATCTTAAACATTTAGAGTTCAATTCAATGGCAATTAGTTAAGATCTGTCTCCCCACTATTAAGTTAAGTTCCTGAAGAGAACCTAATATCCTGTATATACTTCCTGCCCCACGGCCGAGGAAAGGGTGGTACATACAGGTAAGCAGGACAGTGAAGTGCTATGAACAGGCTAGCCAAGAAACAAAACAGTAACTGCTGCTGAGTTAAGAATCAAACATTTTACCATGCAACTGGCTCATCTGGTAGTCTGGATTGAAATCCAGATCTACTAGATCACTATTTGAGTCTTAACAAGATTCCCAGATGGTTCATCTGCATATAAAAGTTTAAGAAGCATTTCAACAACTGTTCTTTGCAAGAAACATATTGTAAATTTTTTTTCTTCTTTTACAAATGAAAAATAAGAAAATTCTATTACTATTTAAGGTAGGAATTTTTAGAAAGCCAAATAAATGCAAAGGAAAGTTAATAATTTTAATATAGTTTAACAGTAAATATGGACTAAATTATCTTTTTTCTTAGATACCTTCTATACTTTTTTTAAAATCTAAAATACTGTGTAAGGTTAGTAAAGGCAAATAATAAACTAGAAAAGATTCACTGATTACTAATTTTAATGTGCAAAGTTCTGCATTATCTCTATGTTCACCACCATAAAGTTCAATGTTTAACTACTTCCTAAAGAAATGATACTGGAAAACACTAACCTGTGGTGTGTCTTTCTGCATTGATGTAGTAATTTTAAATTTTGTTCTTTTACTGCTGAAGTTCATATTTAATGAGAATGAAGATTCTGCATCTATGTCTTCCTATAATAAGAACAACACATTTACATTCACAAAAAATAAATTATTAAATAAGATTTACTGTAAACCTATGCCATGAAATTAAAGTAAATGTTATTAAATTTTACACTTGGTAGAATTTACTCATTTAGAAATAAGTTATTTTCTGGTCCAACTAGTGTGTGTGTGTATATATATATATATATATATATATATAGTGTACCTTTGCTTAAAACAAAGAAGTCAAGTTTGTTGGCTTAAACAAATTAACATTTTAATTTTCATGAAAAACTAAGAGTCATAATTTTTCCATGATCCCACTTTGAAAACTGATCACACAATATGTTTTCTAAAATGTTGCAATAACCACCAATCATAAATGTTGGTAATAACTATGCAAGCATGCTGTTTCCACTTTATTCAGACAAGCATCATTTCTCCATGAATTTTCTCCAATTTTTACTCCTTAAAAATTTCATTTTATTCACTCTTCTAGAAACAAGTGGCCTTTTTAAAGTAAAAGTTGTTAATTTTTAGTATCATAACTTCTCTAACAGACCTAACAAAGCTAGTCATTCCATATGATGAATTTCCCCCTAAGCAGGTTCAAGAAAGAGATACTTTACAGAATCAAAATTAAAATCTAATGCACAAAGAAGCAATCTATATTTGCCTTGTACATTTCTAGGCAGTAAAAATAACTTTAAAGTGTGTTTTTAAGCACTTAAATTTAATAATTTTAACTTAAATTTTAAGGTTAAATCTTTTAAATCATAATTAACAGCCTTAATTAAAATTTAAACTAGTACTGATGATTATTGTTAAGATTCTGAAATTAGAAAAATAAATCCATCTCAAAAGAAAAGTTTGATTTCAGAATATATGCCAGGTAGAACTTTTCAATTATAGACTACAAAGTATCATCATACTGGGAATATCGACAAAGCAAATGAACTGATGAGAGAAATAAGCTGAAGACTATTCAGCAAAAATAAAAATGAAACCTCACAAGAATTTTTTCTTATAGACATAATAATTTCAAACAGGAGATTTTTCACCTATATTGACCTGTCAGCTTTTTAACTATTTAAATATTAAAGATATATGATGATAACAACTAAAACTTGTTACTGGCGGGGGAAAGTTACAAAGAAAGAAAAGTAAGTATCTTATTGTCCAACTAGATTCCTGACAGAGAAAATATATGGTGGTTAGCTGAGCCCTAAAATTACAGTATGCGAGAAGGAGTATTTGGAATTGAGTCTCGTATGTTAAGTCACGTACAAATATACATCAATAGACTGTCAATGTCTACTGCCAAATGATGTAATTAAAAATTAAACATATGGAGAAAAACCAACAGAAAGGATTTTATGGGCCATGATTTAAAGATGTCAATTAAACAGAATCTTCCCAATCTGCAATTCTATTGTAACTCTGAATAAATGTCACCGTAGAGGAGAAATAAAATCAAGTTGTAAAGGGCACTTGAGCCCCATTTACACAGCCTTCCCCAATGCCTCACTTTCACAGATGTTAAGTGATCTTGCAATAACAAAGCTGATTCAAGTGCTTTTCAAAGAACAAAGGGCACTAACAATAAAAACCTTACTTTTAAAACAGCAAATATCCCATGAAAAAGTTTTAATATTTATGCTTGAGTTCCATGAAATAACCATACCTTTTCTGAATCATGGTTAATCATTTTCACATCAAGTAAAGATTTGATTGTTTTGGTCAATTCCTTTTCATTCATCTGAGTACTGTCTTGAAGATCTTTATAGCTGACAGTTTCACTGTTGTTAAAGGCAAGAAGAACTGCCATTTGGTATGTTGTAACCATAGCTACATATGGTTTGCCCAAATAGTTCATTTTAACTTCCCCTGTAATTAAACAAAGTTGTGACAATAAACTGATCAAAGTAATATTTCAAGATTATTCAAAAAAATTGCTTACTTCAGATATTTTTCTCCTGAAAATAGAAAACCTAGACTTAATAAAACTATTGTAAACCATTTTCCCTAGCAAAGTAATCATTTTGTATTGGGGGGAGGGCTATTAGTTTTGAGTATATAATTTAAATCACAGTTCAGTTACCCTAGCTTTACCTGTAGGCTTAAACAATGTCTTTAAATACCCACTGGGATGGTTAAGCCACAGACAGGAAAAAAAAAAAAAAAAAAAAACAACCAGAGGAGGCAGATTTAACAGGAGAAACAGAGAAAAAGGGGAGAGAGTGACTACTTGCTCCCATCAACTGTCAAATGCCCCATACAGACAGAGTATTCAAGGTAGGTTAGAGCATATAAAGAGGCCTAGCACACAGGGCATGCTTCTTGTTTTGGTCTATCTGATCATAATTTCTGCAAAATTTTAAAATGCTATTTTGTCTTATACATAACGTTCTTCTTCCCAGTAACTTCCTAAAAAGAGAAGAGACAAACAAGGAGAGCCACTATTTTATTGAAATAGCGATTAAAATTCTAGACTCTACGCAACCTTGAAAGCTATAGAACATGTATGCATACCTACACTTGTCCTTAAATATCTCAGGGAGGCAGCACAAGGAAAGGCTTGTAACAGAAGTATGACAAGTACTGATGCACTCTTTAACAGTAAAAAAAGTTAAAGTCAGTCAAAGAACTGCTCCCTAAAGCATAAAATTGCAGTTTACCAACTGTACTTCCATTTCTCTCTCACAAAATGCACATAAACAAAGCAGAATTTCACTGTTAACAGATTATAAACTAAACCAAAGTAAACTTTTGATTAAAACCAAAATAGCCCAAAGAAGCTCTATTTCATATGACTTACTAAAAGGCTGCATTTTTCCTTGAGCTAATTAGTAACTCTGGTCAAGATTTTCTACTTCTTTTGTATCTATTAATTAGATAAAGATCTTTAAGGATATGTCAATTTTCCCAACTTATCACCACAATGATGACTATCTTTTATGATACGTCAAATTATCTCAGGAAAACACTGATCCTTATAAATATTTTTCAAATATATTTGGATAAAAACACATATGGAAAAAGTTCATAATCTTTTAATTCTTACAAAACGAAGTTTAATGTATTAAGTAAATTATCTGGTTCACACAAAAGTTTAAGTAAAAAGTATTACTAGAAGTAATGAAGAATGATGTAAAAAATAAAAAATTAAAATTAAAAAAAGTATTATTATGAGTATGCAGCTAACAACATAATGTGCTTTTAGAATCTAACAATGATGTTTGGGAAATGTGTTGAGAAGCAAGTCACATAAATTTCATTATGTAATTTCTGCAATGAATACTTTATCATATGTCAGAAACACATGTAAAACAATGTATCCAACACTTAGATAAATATGCAGGACCATCACCCAGCATGTCACTGATGATATGCTATACTGTCTTAAGTTTGGAAACAGAGTAAGTATTCTGCCATACACAACAGTCACAACCAGAACCCAAAGAGCATTCAGAGACAATGCAATTAATGTATAAATATCACTTACTTATTGAGTTCATTTTATAACCTTTAAAATGAGGGAAACAAATTGTCTGTTTTATACTTTTTGGAGCTATTTTTCAAAGAATTATCAAGTTCAGGATACATGCACTTGTTCCTACTTTTTTCCAGGAACTTCTCATATTACCACCTCCCTACAGAGAGAAGGATGATTGAACAAGCATGGCAGAGAAGGAAACCCCAAATTTGTGTGACTCCTTTAACTAACTGTCATGTAAACAGAAGAGGAAAACAACTACATTCAAGTGGCATTTTCAATTACAGGAAATGGAGTAGTAGAAGTCTTATAAAGTTACTCTCCCTAGTTTGAAAATTTTTCTTTATAGAAGAATGTCAGTTACTAACTGTTGAATGGATGACAGAAAAGCAACAATTTACAAGCAGTGAGGAAATAACTGTTTTAAGCAACAATCATTCTTGGATGCTAAAACTATCAGGTAAGGTTGTTCCTAGAAAGGCGGATTCATATGAAGTAGGTATCACCATTCAGATCACTTACTAAAATGAAAGGGCTAAGAGAGTATCTTTAGGATGGAGGTATCTCATGGTCACCACCTTAACCAAGTGACCAACTTAGTTAGTATCTCTAAAAGTGATACAATCTATCATTACATAGCTCCCTATGTAATACAATATAAAGTACACAGAACCACTTAAGTAATATCTTGCCAACAATATACAGCCTAAAGATAATGAAAACTTTCAGACTTCACTTCTACTTCATAAAAGTACAGAAACTAGAAAATGCATAAAATATCTCACAAGTACATAATCAGACAAACCTATGATGTTGGCTACCCTACAAAACAACTGGCTTCTTTCAAAAAAGCAGGTCAAGAAGATTAATAGGGTGGCAGTGGGATTGTGGTAGTTGTGGAGAAAGGTAGTAGAAAGATCTAAAAATCAAATACAATTAGTAACCTTTCATGACATTAAAAACAAGAGTAATAAATTAATTCAATTTGGGGACAATAAGGGAAATCCAACTGTGGATTGGGCATTATATGATTTTAAAACACCTAACGATTTAGCTACTAAAGTACCTGAAACCAATAATGAGTATAAATCAGCAAATGTCAGAAAAAGCCACTGCTTCATAAGGTTTGTGTGACAATATGGTATGACTTTAATTTTAGCAAACTAGACAGATTTCACTTGGCAAAAGGCAATGATTATTTAGTTCACTAAGAAGTACCAACATGATCTAATAAACAAATTATCTACATATTATCTCCACATCTTTGTATTATACAATTAAATGATGTCTCCTTTGAGTTCACCATTTTTCAAACTTATCTCTCAGGAATAGATCTGGGCCAGTTCCTGTTAATTCCCTGCTCTGTCCCAAATAAAGCTTATTTGTAATTCAGATGGTATAACATTTTCCAGGTTGTTTTTATATTTTTTTCACCAAATTATTCTCTCAGAATAATTCTACACAACGTCTCAGTCATAAATTGAGTGGAAATTTCATCTTTCTCTCATATAGTTCTCTGTCATATATGATGGATATTGTGTATTGCCTAAAAGTCTTACAACTGCTGGCAATATGCTTTCAACACTTTTTTTTTTTTTTTGCCTTTCTTGGCTAAGTTTATTCATTCTTGAAAACCAAGTTTAAATGCTATTTACACAGAAGCCTTTTCTTGCCAGGAGCTAGCTGTTTGCCACCAACATTCTGTGTGATACTGTAAAACCCCAGGCTTCTCACTATTACATTTAAAACATTGCATCACTAGTATTTACTTGGCTGCCCTCCTCCCAGATATGAGTTTTTTGAAGGCTGAGGCTCTGTATTTTATCTCTGTCTGCTTACATTTCGAAGTATATGGAACACAGATGTTCTCTGAGTCAATTTTTATAAAGATGAGGAAAGAGGCTTAGAGAAGTTCAATAACTTTCTCAATGTAACAAAGCAAGTAGGTTTGTAAAAAGTTAAGTACAAACCTTAACTCTACATCTAATTCTAAATTCACCCAAATAGCATTTCATAACAATCATTTGTAAAGACACTTGAATTACAATACAAAAGTACTTGGAATGCAAAAATGGACCAGGAACAAGTAATTTTGATTATTTCTGTAAGGTTCAAGGACTCTTCAGCAATCAGCCCAGGATTTGAATACTGGAGTTTTCTTATTTAAAAACTTATTTATGCATACAAGAACTGGGCTGTAGGTCAGAAGTGGGGTAGGAGGTGAGAGGAATAACCAGAGACAGAGTGGGGAGCAGAACAGGCAAATTCACTGAAATACACTGCGAGGGGGAGCAGTAGGCAAGACAGAAGAGATCTGCTGCACCACATGCTGGCTTAGGATTGAACTCAGACTGCAGCAGAGATAGCTCTGAGATTTAATCCCTGTGCCACCACAGAGGTCCCTGAATTACAGAGCCTTTAAGGAGCCTTGGAGTTTTATGGTAAATGTGGGAATCTATAACAAGTATCTTAATATGGATGGTACTTGAGAATATTTTCGTTAAGTGAATAAACACAAATCAAAATTTTACCCAGTGATTTCATTGGTAGGCCACAGAAATTGTGGTCCCTTCTGTGATTTAGGTTAAGAAATGAACTTGTAAGGTTGACCTCTTTTTCCAAAGGAAAAATGAAATGTTTGCCTTAATTAGCTATAAACACATGACACTAAACGAAGACAAACCAAATAAAAAAGCTCCCAAAATCTGGTTCTTTGTGGGTCATACTGGAAATTCAGTATACAGAAACAAAAAGTTGTTTCTCTTTTTCAGATGCTATTAATAACAATTTCAGACCAAACGTCAGTGACAAATACTGTGTAAATATTTTTTTGGTTCTTCCTTTGACATTATGGACAGCAAAAATTAAGTCCCTCATTAGAATTAATTCAGCAAACTGGCAGATTATTGCTGAGGTAATGAGAATCATCAAGAGAATTTAAACTCCCATAATTCAGGGAAAGTAAAAGTAAATTAAATTCAAATATAGTAAGTTGTATTAATATTCTAGTATCTGAAACACTGATCTTGCAAATTTTTTCTTAAGTCTGCTACATTTAGGCAGCTCCCCTGGTGGTGCAATGGATTAGGATGCAGCACTGCAAGCGAATGGCAGCCGCTTCAGTTTGAGTTCGATCCTGGGACCCAGAGGTGATCCCCATGGCGTGACAGACCTTTCCTGTCTCACCCCTGCTGCTCCCCTCAGCAGTGTACTTCATAGATCTGCCTGTTATGCTCCCCACTCTTACTCTGGTGAATCTTCTCATCGCCCCTGTACCTATGGCCTATACTCCAGTTCTGTATAAATAAATTCATAAATCTTTAAAAAAAAAAAAAGGTCTACTACATTTAATAAGAATTTACAACAGCTGTGAAATTAAAGGATAACTATTAAGTGACTATTTAAGGACATCAATAAACATTGATCTCACCAACTATTGAAAAGATTTAACTGCTCAGCTTTTTCAATAAAGACAAGCTTGTATAAATAAGTATATATATGATTTATCATACATTAATATGGATTACTAACATAATAAAGCATTGTATTAAAAAAGTAAATTAGGCAAAGAGGACTTAAATGAAATTACTTAAATGAAATTTGTCATAGGTGAATAATGAGTTTCTTAATATTATAGCAACTGATCGTATATTCTCATAATACTTCTAACAGACATTAATACGCACACTGTTCACTTCTTATACAAAAGGGAAAGTTGATTGAAAGTACTGTTAAAAGAGTAACTTTAGCAAAACTTTGAAAATCTGAAAGTTTGATTTGGCTATCGTCTTCAGGCAACTTAGATCAATTATATACAGCCTAGAATTATTCAAGTATTAATCCTTCTGTCAAATAAGTAAACCCCATTATTTTCAGAAAGGAGCAAAGGAAATGACTAGCTTCTAACTGAACTTTTTAAAAAATAGAAATTGGAATATTCTGAAAAAAAACATTTACTATAGCAATTCACTATAAAACAAATAAAAATCAAGACTCTAGGTTTCCTTATAATGCTCTATAGTTAATAAAAGTTTCCAAGATATCTGAGTTAAAGACAGGTTTTTAAGATTATCTGATTCATAAAATCTGGGTTTCTTTACAAAATTACTAATGTTTAAAAGAAGTGCTATGTTACAGAATAGTAATAAACTATCATAAAGTTGGAAATTTTCTTTATATAATATAAAGAGCATATAGTAAAATACTTTTAATAAAAACTGCTGCATTTGAACTTCATGTTTGATTGCTTTCAAGATAACCAGAATGACAGATGTTGAAAACTATTATTATGCTATTGAGAAACTTTTTCTAAATTATTAACATAACAGGTTAGTAAATTTCATTTAAATTAGATATAAATAAATGTATTTTACCTGTACAGAGATAATGTAACCATGTAAGTTTCCTTCCACTGAAATGCTGGCTGTAAAATAATTCAAACTGTGACAGAGGAAAAAAAAATATTTTCAGCTATGGTAACATTAGTTAAATTGTTAATAAAAAAGTTCATGTTATTAAACAGCAATATAGTATTTACACTTACTTACAGTTACAACCTGTAACTGTACAGTTACAATCTGTGCAAAATAATACAAAGATAATACAATTAGTCCAGCTCTTTGTTTATAACCTCATTTAATGTTCATTCCCGTAAACCATAGTCTGCAAATTTGATTTTAACTGTAAATTTAAAATGACATAGGCAAGTGGTGCTTTACAAGTTTCAAATGTTATCACTTTGGTCTTTATAAATAACAACAACCCCCCCAAACACCATTATAATTCAATATTAAAATAAAAATTTTAGGATTGGTGACCCAGACGACAAGAGGTTCCTCACCTAGCTCCAGAGAGGATCATCTAACAATTACTAAAGAGACATTACAACAAGAGTATCCTTTGCCTAAGGGTAAAACTGGAAACCCCCTTGGAGAGCAACAGGACCGAAAAGAGGAGAAAAAGAGAGTTACTCTTAAACATAGGCAGACAATGTTCCCAGGGAGGGGGTGGCCAGCTCAACGGTGGTTCTAGGGAAAAGAGACATAAATGGCACCCTTGTAACACATCCTTGAATGAGGGAAAACAACAGAGGAGTTTGTGTGTTTCCTAAAGGTGGGTACCCAGTAAAAAGAACACTCCCCCTCCTACCCTTTAAAACTGATACTGGCCTGCTAACGTACACTGATGGCTTATAGAGTGTAGCATCTCAGATCTGCAACCCCAGAGTGGAGGGACAAGGAAAGAACAACTCTCCACAACTCAATAACAAAGAAATGGAACATTATACCTCCTGGTCAGAGAAGAATTTAAAATTGCTATAATAAAGAAAATCAGAGGAATGTGAAAGAAAATGCAGAAAAGCAACTCAAACTGATGTTAAAAACTCAGAAGGCCCTCCCTGGTGGCGCAGCGGGTTAAAGCACTGCACTGAGAAACTAAAGCCACTTCTGAGTTCGATCCCCGCCTGCCCAGGAGGTGACCACATGGAATGGCAGACTTCTCCTGACCCGCCCGCTGCTCCCCTCAGCAGTGTACTTCGTCGATCTGCCTGTTCTGCTTCCCGCTCTGTCTCTGGTGAATCCTCTCACCCTCCGCATCTCTGGCCTGTACCTCAGTTCTGTATGAATAAATAAATAAATCTTTAAAAAAAAAAAACTCAGAAAAGCTGTTCAGGAAAAAAAGTGACCTAAAAAATAAAATCAATGGATAAAAAAATAGAAACTGAAGCTTCAAATAAGAAAATAACAGATTCACCATGTCAAAAAACAAATAAAAAGTAGATGAGATAAAAGTTTCTAGAGAAAGTTATGGAAGAAAAACAGACCATTAGAAAATTGAATTTGTGATCCTGAGATATAAATGCACAAAGGAAAAAGAAAGTACACTTCCAAAACTACTATACTCCTTTAGGAAAAACAATATAAAGATAGTGGGGATAGTGGGTATCACTGAAGGGAAAGAGAAAAGGAAATAGTGGGCTTCGATGAAATAATAGGACTTTGTCCCAAATGTGGGGACTCAATCTACAAGGTTCATGAACTTAAAAGAACAGCTAAACTTACTTAAAGAACAAAAACTATAAGACATTACCAAAAGAAATAAAAAAGGACAGAAAAAAAGATAATCTCTGCTCACGGATGGAAAGACTTAACATTGTAAAATGGCCACCTTAAGTTTCAATGGCATTCTTCAAAAAAATAAAGCAGACATTACTGAAATTTATATGGAATCACATAGACCCCAAACAGTTAAAGCAATTCTGACAAAAATAAAGAAGTATCATACTTCCAATCTTCAAAGTACATTACAGTGCTACAGTAATTAAAACAGGACAGTACTGGAATAAAAACAGAGGCCAATGAAATAAAATTGACAGTCCAAATATAAACCCACACTGATACAGACAACTAATCTACTAGCCAAGGGTATACAAGGGTGAAAGTCTCTTCAACAAATGCTGTTGGTGAAACTTAACAGCCAAAACATAACAGATGTGAGTACCACTATCACACATCTCATACAAAAGTTAACTCAAAATGGATTAATGGATGTATGACTTGAATTGTAAAATACTAAGAAGGGAAACATTACAAGACAATGGCTTCAGTTATGACTTTGTTTCCAACAGCAAGCAAAACAAATGAAATTATATCAAAGTAAGAATTTCTTTACAGTGAAATATGCTATCATTAAAACAACAAACAAACAAAACAAAACTACTAAACGGGAGAAAATATTTGCACACCGTACATCTGACAAAGGACTAATATCAAAGGTTTGCTAAGAATTCATACAACAAAACTAAATGAACAAGTCATCCAATCATATAATAGGCAGGCAGGTGAGCTAAATAGATACTTCTTTAAAGATGAGAGGTGGCCAAAAGGCATATAGATTAAAAACCTACCAAAACTTATCCTCAAGGAAATTTGAATGAAAACCATGTTCAGATACTATCTCATACCTGTTAGAATGGTTCATATCAAAAAGACCAGAAATAACAAGTGTAGTGAGATATTGAGAAAAAGAAATCCTTCCACACCTTTGGTGGGAATGAAAACTAGTGCATAGTACAGTCCCTAAGAAAAAACAGTATGGAGATCTCTCAAAATGTTAATAACAGATCTATATATGGTACAGCAATTCCACTCCTAGGTATTTATGTGAAGAATAAAAAAATTTTGAAGGATATAAATGTTCACTGAAGGGATACAATGCCAAATTAAAGAAACAACCTATGCACCCAAGGTCAGAAGAGTAGATTATGAATTTGTGGTATATCTACATAGTGGAATACTACTCAGCAATGACTAAAAGTTGAACTCTTGCCATTTGTGATAACATGGATGAGCAAGAAGGAATAATGCTAACTGGAATAAATGAGGAGGAGAAAACAAGTATCAGAAGGCTTCACTAGTATGCACAATATAGAGAAACTAAACAAATGGTCAAAACTAAACAAAAACAAGCCCTAAAAATTTGTGCAACTGATGCTAACAGATGGATGGGGGTAGCAAGGAAACTTAAAATGGGTAAAAGGGGAAGGGAACCTGACAGACTGTGGTGGAATATTATGGGTATTTTGGTGGTAGGTCTTAGGTGATAACATTCATCAGAAGAGGTGTGAACCTATAGCTCTAAATCATAGTGCTGCAAAACAACAACACAGTAATAAAATATTTAACAATATATAAGTTATATTATCAGTTCTAACCTATTTACCAACATATATCCCTACTGAAGTAATAGATTAAAATTTCTGTAGTGATTTCACTTCCACATCCACTTAAACACTAATACAAAAAAGAATCTATTTGTCTTCTTTATCTGACATTACTATGAAAAGTTAAATTTTAATCTCCTACAAATGTAGCATTCAAATTTTGAAAGTTCCTTCCTTAGATTAAATGTACAATTGCAGGGTATCAATCCAAAATGTAGAGTTCAGATCTTATAAAGAGCTGGCACACAACACAGAGAGACTGTGATAGTGAAGTGTAGAAAGATTAAAAACAATTGTTCCTAAAACTCAAAAATAAACAAATGATCATGTCATGTCACAAATGAGAACTGTGGACATATTTTTTTT